ACGTATGTCGTATGTATGTTATACGTGTGTGCGTGTGTTGTGCGTGTGTTGTACGTGTGTTCTACGTATGTTGTATGTATGTTCTACGTGTGTACGTGTGCTGTACGTGTGTTGTACACGTGTGTGCGTGTGTTGTACACGTGCTGTACGCATGCTGTACGCGTGCTGTATGTTCTACGTGTGTTGTATGTATTTTCTACGTGTGTGCGTGTGCTGTACGTGTGCTGTACGTGTGTTCTACGTATGTTGTATGTATGTTCTACGTGTGTGCGTGTGCTGTACGTGTGCTGTATGTATGTTCTACGCGTGCTGTATGTATGTTCTACGTGTATGCGTGTGTTGTACGTGTGCTGTGCGTGTGTTGTACGTGTGCTGTACGCGTGCTGTACGTGTGTTGTATGTATGTTCTACGTATGTTGTATGTATGTTCTACGTGTGTGCGTGTCGAGCTTATTTCGCAACGTGCGTAGCCAGCCGCGCTCATCCAAGGTACGGGGAGGCGGGCAACAAATAAAACACAACAACGACAACAACAAGAAGCCGCTCTAAAGAAATTAGTTTTTAATTTAGTACGGTGATGTAGTGTATAGTGGTGTATAGTTTAGTGTGTTGCGTAGTGTGTAGTGTAGAGTGCAGTGTGTACTGTAGTGTAGAGTGTAGTGTAGAGTGTAGTGTGTATTGTAGTGTAGAGAGTAGAGAGATCCACAGACTAAGAGAGACCCAGAGACCCACAGAGATCACAGACACTCATGTAGACCCACAGAGACCCACAGAGACTCACAGAGACCCACAGAGACCCACAGAAACTCACAGAGACCCACAGAGACCCACAGGAACACACAGAGACTCACAGAGACCCACAGAGACCCACAGAAACTCACAGAGACCCACAGAGACTCACAGAGACCCACAGAGACCCACAGAAACTCACAGAGACCCACAGAAACACACAGACACACAGAGCCATACTCAGAGACCCACAGAGACACACAGAGACACATAGAGCCACACAGAGACCCACAGAGACTCACAGAGACTCACAGAGACTCACATAGACCCACAGAGACTCACAGAGACTTACAGAGACCCACAGAGACTCACAGAGACCCACATAGACCCACACAGACCCACAGAGACTCACACAGACTCACAGAGACTCACATAGACTCACAGAGACTCACAGAGACCCACAGATACTCACAGAGACTCACAGAGACTCACAGAGACCCACAGAGACCAAGAGACTAAGAAAGACCCAGAAACCCACAGAGATCCCAGATACTCATGAAGACCCACAGAGACCCACAGAGACTCACAGAGACCCACAGAGACCCACAGAGACTAAGAGAGACCCAGAAACCCACAGAGATCCCAGATACTCATGTAGACCCACAGAGACCCACAGAGACTCACAGAACCACAGAGATCACAGACACTCATGTAGACCCACAGAGACCCACAGAGACTCACAGAGACTCACAGAGACTAAGAGAGACCAAGAAACCCACAGAGATCCCAGATACTCATGTAGACCCACAGAGACCCACAGAGACTCACAGAGACCCACAGACTAAGAGAAACCCAGAGACCCACAGAGACCCACATAGATCACAGACACTCATGTCGAACCACAGAGACCCACAGAGATCCTAGATACGCATGTAGACCCACAGAGACCCACAGAGACCCACAGAGACTCACAGAGACTCACATAGACCCACAGAGACCCACAGAGACCCACAAAGACTCACAGAGACCCACAGAGATCCCAGACACTCATGTAGACCCACAGAAACCCACAGAGACTCACAGAGACTAAGAGAGACCAAGAAACCCACAGAGATCCCAGATACTCATGTAGACCCACAGAGACCCACAGAGACTCACAGAGACTCACAGAGACCCACAGAGATCACAGACACTCATGTAGACCCACAGAGACCCACAGAGACTCACAGAGACCCACAGAGATCACAGACACTCATGTCGACCCACAGAGACCAGCAGTGCCCCACATAAACCAAAATAGACCCACAGAGACCCGGATTGATGTTGAACTTCTTTTGCACCGTACGAAGCCAACCGCGGCAATCGGAGGTGCGGGGCGGGGGGGAGGGAGGGGGCACAACAACAACGAGCAGTTCTAAAACAAATCAGTTTGTCAATCATTTAGATTGAGAAGGATGCTCATCAAAATCAACAACATCAACAGTCGCCCCCCCCCCCGACCCCCGGCCACTTATAATTCGCTTTTGTAACTTTCGATTTAAAGCTTTCGTGACTGCAGGGATTCATCTTCTTGGTTGTTTCGGTAAAGTCATCACGTAGAAGGGAAGTAATAAAATAATAAACATAAAACATAATAAAATAATTCTCACGACGTTTGAGAAATATTTTATAATGTTATATTTTTATTATTTTATTATTTCCATTCTACGTGGTGACTTTACCGAAAGAACCAAGAAGATGAATCCCTGCAGTCACGAAAGCTTTAAATCGAAATAAAATACAATTCTCACAATTGTATTTTATTATGTTTGAGAATTGTATTTTATAATGTTATATTTTATTATTTCCATTCCACGTGACTTTACCGAAAGAACCAAGAAGATGAATCCCTGCAGTCACGAAAGCTTTAAATCGAAACAACAACATCAACAAAGAGCCCCCGACCCTCGGCCACAAATTATAATTCGCGAAGGCCCCCCCAGAGTTATAATTCTCAGCCGGCTTAATTATCACGCCGGCCGGCCGAGTGGAAACTAACCACCACCCACCGCCTCCCTCCCTCCTGACGATGGCAATGCCCGGGGGGGGTGGGGGGGTGAAACAAAAACGGTGGGAGCTAGGCCATTATAAAATCGTCGTCTAGATTGCAAACTCACTTCTTCAGAACTGCTTTTAGTGTTTAGTCTGTTTGTCCTTTCCCCTCCGCACCTCCGATTAGCACGCTTGGCTACGTACGGTGCGAAATAAGTTCAACATACACAGAGACCCATAGACTCATCACACAGAGACCCATAGACTCATCACACAGAGACCCATAGACTCATCACACAGAGACCCGTAGACTCATCACACAGAGACCCGTAGACTCATCACACAGAGACCCATAGACTCATCACACAGAGACCCATATACTCATCGCACAGAGACCCATAGACTCATCACACAGAGACCCATAGACTCATCGCACAGAGACCCATAGACTCATCACACAGAGACTCACCACATAGAGACCCACAGACTCATCGCACAGAGACCCATAGACTCATCGCACAGAGACCCACAGACTCATCGCACAGAGACCCACAGACTCATCGCACAGAGACCCAGACTCATCACACAGAGACTCACACACAGA